TTCCTGCAGCTGCATGACTAGGCCAGGCAGGGGAAGTCCCAAGGATGCGGTGCACAGCACAAGGCCAAGCCGCCTGCTCTGCTTGCCCAGCCCCTATGCCATGCTGCACGGTGACCACAGGGTTTGAGCTGCAGCGCAGACTCCCCGCTGGGTGTGTGGGTGCTTCACTTGAGCCACAGACCACCTAGGAGACAGCCATACACCACCCAGAATCATCCTGCGTACCACTTATGGTGTGTGTGACGTACATTGCTGACCCTTGATCTCAAAGGTAGAAAAATTCATGTACTAAAATTATTTTGAAGGATAAGTACATCAATTACATACCTTCTTCCTCAAAAGGTCCTATGTCAAGTTTCATATGTAGCAAGATATCTATTGCCCAGTCCAGATGTTTAATAACACCATTAAGAGGAAACTGATTGCAGTATAGCCATTCTGCAAATTCCATTAGATAGTCAACTTTCTGCCACTCACTTTCTTGTTTCTATAGAAAAGACAGTATGATTTAGGTCATATATTTTAGTCAGGCCTGCTGATGGTGGGGAGCAAGGGGACAAATGGGCAATTGCCCTGGGGCCTGGATAAAGAGGGCAAAGGGTGGCTGGAGCACTGGGATCCTTTCAACTGCCATGGAAGTACTGCTCTGCATGGGGAGGGGTTTACCCGCGGTCTGGACGGTGCTAAATGTTGACTGCTTTCATCTTTTACCCCTGCCAGTTCCAGGGTTGCGGAGCCGACTCCTCCTTGCCCTGGGGCCCACAGAGGCTGTCAGCCCTGCTCATTGTAGTTTGTAACATCAAATTACTGATATTAAGATCTATATAGATTTATCATTAGTTTTCTGAAAGCAAAACATTAATTTTAAATACGTAGCAAAAAATTAATTTACACTACCTAATCAGTGAAAATGTCTAACAGAGATGGTAAAAAACCCAGTGTTAGTTAAATTTCTTTTCTTTTATTAAAGTTTCCATCAGTTAGTTACTGTTCAGCTTTTTCCTCTTTGAAAGAGATCAGGCAGCAGTTCAAATGTGTTGACACAGATTTCCAAGACTTAAGCTACATCCACTTGATTTTCCACCAGAAAAGTAATTTAAAAGTTGTGAAAAATAACCTGCACTAAATTAACAAATTTACAAAAATAATTTGAAAACATTTATTCTTTCTATTAAATTGAACTATTTTAAACTATGATGAAAAACAATGCTAAATGAACATGCAGGTAATGACAAAGAGTAATCCTGTGGCACCTTACAGACTGGGGATGTTAAGAAGTGTGTAATTCATTAAACATGTAGTTGACAAAAATGTTGTTGATTACATGATTAATCAATAAGGGTTAGCAGTGAAAGCACTCAGTCCCTGCTCACACCGGGTCCCAGGCCCAACCCTGCTGTGGCTCTGCATTATTAAGGGACTGGGGAGCCAGCTCGCAGGCATGCTGCCTCAGTTCCGGCTCACGCCGGGTCCCAGCATAACCTCCCGATGCAGTTCTGCACTGTTAGTGGAGTGGGTAGCTGGTGCACAGAGAAGCTGGCTCAGTCCCAGCTTGCGTCATGTCCCAGCACCAACCCCACTGTGGCTCTGCATTATTAGGGGACTAGGGAGCCCGTGCGCAGGCAGGCTGGCTCAGTGCCAGCTTGTGCCGCGTCTCAGCATAACCCCTGCTGTGGCTCTGCATTGCTAGTGGACTGAGCTCACCAGAGCTGCAGCAGGGGTTTGTGCTAGTACCTGGTGCTAGCTGGGACTGAGCCAGCCTGCCTATGCATCAGCTCCTCAGTCTAGGGATATAAGTGAGTAGTCAGCTAGTTGACTAACCGATAAGCCTAGGCTTACTTGCTTCCTGACCCCTGCCTTGCTACCTCTGTACCAGAGGCAGTGGGGTTCAGGGGGAGGAAAGCAGGAGCTGGGGATGTGGGGAGACAGGTTAAAATACATTCCCCCCAGCACCATCTCCACACTGCTGCCTTACCCACACCATGCTGCTGCCTCTATGGGTATGTCTACACTACCACCCTAGTTCGAACTAGGGTGGTAATGTAGGCAACCGGAGTTGCAAATGAAGCCCGGGAAATTCAAATCCCAGGCTTCATTTGCAACTCCGGTTGCCTACATTACCACCCTAGTTCGAACTAGGGTGGTAGTGTAGACATACCCTATGAGAGGTAGCAGTGTGGGGAGAGGGACCAGGGGAGGCTGCCATGAAGCAGCCTTATCTGCAACCAGCCCAGCTAGGCAGGCAGCCCGGCTCAGTCCCAGCTCATGCTGGGTCCAGGTCCAAACCCTGCTGAGGCTTAGCAGTAGGCGGTAGGACCTGGGTGGCCTGCACCCTCCCTCCCCCCGACTCCTACTGCCTTTTAAATTACAGAGCCACAGTGAGGTTTTCATCCCAGAACTGGCATGAGCCGGGACTGAACCGGACTGACTAATCAAGGAGTTGATAAAAATTCTATTAACTACTCGATTAATAAATTAGCCTCATTTTAACATCCCTATACCAGTCCACTAATAATGCAGAGATGCAGTGGGGGGGACGTAATGCTGGGATTTGGCACAAGCTAGGACTGAAGCAGCCTGCCTGTCTGCTGGCTACCCAGTCCACTAATAATTCAGAGTTGCAGTGAGAAGCCCAGGATTGAACAGTCTGTCGCCCCATCCCATTAAAAATATATACTTGTAGTGCTGAGGGGGAAAGGGGGATCCGTGTAGCCAGTAATGATAATTGATAAGCACCTGCTTATTGGTAAATCGTTTAGTTGACTACACTATTACATCCCTATTACAGACTAACAAAAATATATAGTATCATGAACTTTCTTGGGCAAAACCCACTTCATCAGCTGAGCACCATCAGATGTTGCTAATGGTTTACACTTATATGTAATTCTAGAACATGGGTGGGCAAAATCAGACCCAAGGGCCAGATCCGGGTCACCAAGCATTTCTCTCAGGCCCGCGCAGCTGTTTAGCAGAGCATGCATACTTATAGCTGGCAGCAAGTGTTCAGCTGTCCCTCCCCCACCTTACTCCATCCTGCAGCTGAGCTGCTCCCAGAATTCTCCTGCTAGCTGTGCAGAGTGGGGAGAGGGTGTGGAAGGGGGAGAGGAGTGCTGAAGTCAGGATGTTCCCTTGCCCTTGCCCCCTCCCCCCCCCCATCTCTGCAGAGCAGTGTCAGGGAAAGGGAAACACACAGCCGAGCTGCTCCAATCTGAAGCATGAATGGTAAGTGACTCAGATGAGTAAAGAGTGGGGGAGAGCAAAGACAACAGAGCAGGACAAATTTCCATTAAAGAGACAGCACATCTCTCAGAAACTTATCCAGCAGCAGCCAGTACTCACACACTCTGTCACTTTCACACACTCCCAGTCTGTGCCTTACACACACAATCACTGTTAAAGACACACTCACTCAAGTCTGTCTCTCACACACAAAGGATCTCTTGCACTCACTCTCTGTAGCCCTCAGACTCACCCCTTCTGCCAGTGCCCCCTCCCCTTCTGGGAAGCCTGGAGCCGATCCACGACCCGTACTAAAATTCATGAAGTTGCCCCCCTGGAATATTATTGCCCACCCCTGTTCTAGAATGATGGAGACATTCAAAGAAACAAAGTTACGTAAAAAAAAAATCTTCTGGATTGGTATTAAGTCTGGTTCTGACCAGGATATTGCCAGTGGTAGTGTCACAATGCCTTTGGCCACAGTTTTGGCAACATCTATGCATACTTTTCCAATGAATGTTTGATCCACTTTGCTACAAATGATTTAGCTCTGGAGGGTGGGCAATACAGGTATTCCTGAATAGGTTTTTACTTCTACTAAGGTTACGTGGCTTGTGAGCTTCGCATACTCTCTCATCAACAGCCTCATCCAAATCTATGGAAGTCAAGTGGAATCTTCCTAATAACTTCAAAAGATTTTGGATTAGTCCTTAAATGATGATCTGCAGAAGCAGGTTGATGCAGAATTATCTTTTAGGATATGTATTTGATTATCTTTACATGGTATGCATTTTATTCATGTAAGATGCTCACTTTTTCCATTTATACACACAATTCAAGTGGTGTTTTTTGAGAACTGTCCTTTCAAAGTTTAAATTAACTAAAGACAAACTTTGTATTACTTGCTTTATGCAAGGATGTCTGAATACCTCTTAGATTACTGCTTCACAAACTACCTTTAAAAATATAGGCACATACCTGCATACTTTCAAACTATGCACTTAAAATATATTCTCTTAAGAATCTATTAAAATTAACAACATAGAAACCTGTAAAGCTTCAATAGCATTGTGATAACAGGTTAACTGCCCAACAATGCCTTTGGAGATTGGTGCCAGACGATGCCACATATGGGATAAATAGTTCTCACTTTCATCCTTGAATTTCTGAATGTCCATTGTAAAGTTACGTCCAAGTCTTGCCTTCACTATTACCATATGTTTGAAAATTAGACTAAAAAAAAAGGTTTAGAAATTAATCAGTTTCTTGCCTGTAAAATTATGCACTGAATCCAATGATGCATTACAGTTGTGAAGGTAACTGCATTTCATTACTCATCTTTCTTTTATAGTTAAATCAAATTACCTGCTCCTCTGGATATTTGAAAAATTTAATGTTAGAAAATAAGTTAGACCCTAATCCTGCAAAGATGCACATAAGTAAGATTTTGCACTGTAACAAGATCCTTAGATAATAGTGGGATTATACACAGGGGAGCGCCTTAACTTTTATTATTAAGCTCAGGGCTTAAGTCTTTACACATTTCTAAGCGTTTGCAGGATCAGAGCTTTAGCTTGCTTATATTCTAATTTTAGAGTTTTAGCCCAAATAGATTTAGATCTTGGGAAAGTTCAAATTCATCCACTCTTCTCTCATTCATCTAACATGAAATAGACATTCAGACACGTGAAACTGTAGCTTTGTCCCAAACAACACATATAGACATAAATGTTGCCATGGATTTTAATGCAAAACAAACTGAATAATAACTAATAACTCAAATATAATTTTACTAATGTATTAGCCAAACAATGTTCTTCAACCAGACAGCATATGTGCTGATATTCAACAAGCTTGGTCATTAAATAAAATAAAGGATAAATATAATGTTTTAATATAGATTTGACTTAAATAATTAAATAAGCTATATGAGGAGTCAACCCCTTACAAAACAGGTTTAGCTGACTCCACTGTAACCAATAAAGAGACCTGACCCCAAAGTCAGATACAAAAGACATAAGAACTTAACAGAGGAATATGAAATGTACCTCTGATAGGACACTATCTTCACTGGTTAAGTTACAGTGGTTTTTTGTCAACACTATCTTCAGGGTTTTACTTAGAGAAGTAACATATCAATGATATAAAATACACAGGTGTCATGAATATGAGTCAGGTCAAAGAAATAATAAAAAGGGGAGCTGAAGAGGTTAAAACATGCATGGAGCTCTCATTGAAAAATGCAAGGATAACAGCCTCTGGGGAAAATTTCATTTTTATATTATTGTTTTATTACAGAGATCAAAAAGAGCACAAAATCTAAATTAGAGGTATACATTCAGATAGAGGGAAGAATGAGCTGCCTGAGACCTTATTATCTTTAGCTCAACTTCATTTCAATGGGTAATTTGAACTGTAACTCATCAAATCTAAAAAGCTTTTCTCACAACTTCTTGCTTTTAACGTCTGGTCTTCAGATAGTAATTAGAAGAGAAGGAAACAGACCAAAGTAAGATCCATAATCGAATAATTACAAAAGGTTATAGAGTACCTACTAGGAGGTATTTTTTAGTGATGAGCTACACAAACATTATAAGCATTTTAATGATAAGAAGCAGTCAAAGATCAATTATTTCTTTGATACTCAAAAGCCATGTCAAGAAGCAGAAAAAAGTTACAATGTTCTCTTCTGTTATAAAAATTATCAACAAAAAGGCAAGTTCTTTATTAATGTAAATATATATTCAAATAGCATCCATATTTTATTTCTCAAGAGTGAGGACGCTTAAAATGTCTCAATAAAAAAAGAGATCAATGAACTTACAGTCTATGTTTAGTCCGAGGCAGAACTTGAATAGCTTCATCTAACACTTTTAGCCCTGTCTCCCAATCACTTTTATCAGCATACATGTGAAATAATAACCCATACAGGGATGTTCTTAATGTAAGATCCTCTTCAGTACCTTTGAAATACATTCAAATTATATTTTTAAATTGTGAGAATAGTGCAACAATCTCGCAGAAATACGAGAGCTATTCATTTTTGCAAGGTAAAAATTAAATACATACCTGGGAGAAAATGACCTTCTAATGATTCACTACTTTGAAAATCCTTTGTAGGCCACTGATGAAGCTGCAACATATTTTTTGTTCCCTAAAAAGACAAAGAAAACAATTAGTGCTCATGTTTTTGTTCATACACCTCTTCAAGCTCTGATACTGTTTTCTATGCATAGCTAAGATAAATTCTATTATAATAGCTAAAATATTAATATGCTAGCAGTAATAATTATTAATTGGGAGTGTGATTATGTCAGTTAATAAGCAATGGAAGTTGAAAACTACAACTATTCTCCTCCAAAACAATGTTTCTAATGGCATGGTGTATTACACATTTGCACTGATTAATACAATGAGCTACATCATACATTCCCACATAATAATGTTGCTTGAGGTAACTAGATGTTGCCAGTCCTGTCTTGGTTTACTTGGCTTGGGTTATGTAACTGGATCACCAAAAATATCATACAATTAAGGGATTTTGGGATGGAATTTTTTAAATCTTGTTTCTAATGTGGCCAACCCCAAAGATAAAATTACATAAGCACCTGGCTCTTTCCACATGCAAATCCTCAGTTATGGTTTTGCTGGTGTACAGACCTCAAATTACATAGGGGCTATATTAGTAAATTCTCTAGTTATTATTTGATTATTATCCTCAAGGACATCTGATCAGGTATGGATAGACCAACATGCCTTCCTAGAAGTGATGGAATCTCCAGATTTCATATTGAGAGTTAAGGAGAACTCCAACATAGCCTATAGTAAATAGGATACTGGTTTTAAAAATGTCCTTAGCATTATTGGCCCTTATATCATCCTCAAATTTTGTTTTGATTCTGATACCACTCACCTTTTCAGAGTGGTACACATCTTAACTCATTTGTCAACAGTGCCTTTGCAATGTTGGATCACCCTCCACCTGACATATGTCTTAGGAACACAGGATTTACTACACTGAATTGGTACACACAAGTCATTAGTATACACCATTTTCTGTCTCTGATAGTAGCCAGTACACTGTGCTTCAAAGAAATCCTGAACATCTATAGACTGACCTGCCTAAAGAATCACAGAATATTAGGGTTGGAAGAGACTTCAGGAGGTCACCTAATCCAATCCCTTACTACAAGCATGACCAAACCTAACTAAATCATTGCAGCCAGGGCTTTGTCAAGCCTGACCTTAAAAATTTCTATGACTGGAGATTCTGGAACCTCTAGATAAACTATGCCGGTGCTGCATTAACAGATGTGTTGTGAGCAAGACACGAGAAGTCATTCTTCCGCTCTACTCTGCGCTGGTTAGGCCTCAGTTGGAGTATTCTGTCCAGTTCTGGGCACCGCATTTCAAGAAAGATGTAGAGAAATTGGAGAGGGTCCAGAGAAGAGCAACGAGAATGATTAAAGGTCTAGAGAACATGACCTATGAGGGAAGGCTGAAGGAATTGGGTTTGTTTAGTTTAGAAAAGAGAAGATTGAGGGGGGACATGATAGCAGTTTTCAGATATCTAAAAGGGTGTCATAAAGAGGAGGGAGAAAACTTGTTCATCTTGGCCTCTGGGGATAGAACAAGAAGCAATAGGCTTAAACTGCAGCAAGGGAGGTTTAGGTTGGGCATTAGGAAAAAGTTCCTAACTGTCAAGGTGGTCAAACACTGGAATAAATTGCCCAGGGAGGTTGTGGAATCTCCATCTGTGGAGATATTTAAGAGTAGGTTAGATAAATGTCTATCAGGGATGGTCTAGACAGTATTTGGTCCTGCCATGAGGGAAGGGGACTGGACTCGATGACCTTTCGAGGTCCCTTCCATTCCTAGTATTCTATGATTCACCACCACCCTCTTAGTGAAATAGAAATAGATATAGATAGTCCTAATATCTAACGAAGACCTCCCTCAAGGCAATAATAGCCTAGCTCCATAAACTCCTTTTCAGGTAGTTGAAGGCTGCTATTAAATCCCCCCTAATTCTTCTCTTCTGCAGACTAAATAAACCCAGGTCTCTCAACATCACTACTAATGAAGTCCAATTTGGTGTTAGCCTTCTTGGCAACTAGGGCACACTGATGACTTGTATCCAGCTTCTTACCTATGACAATCCCTGCATCTTTTGCTACAGAACTGCCACCTAGCCAGTTAGTCCCCATTCTAAGTGCAGGGCATAGTTTATCTAGGGTTTCCATTCTAAGTGCAGGACTCTTCACTTGTCCTTGTTGAAACTCATCAGATTTCTTTTGGCTCAGTCCTCCAATTTGTCCAATCCTCCACCCTCCAGCATATTTACATCTCCCCACCCAGCCTTGTGATATCCAGAAACTTACTGAGGCTGCAACCTATCTCATTATCCTTCTCATTAATGAAGAGGTAGAAAAAAACCAGCACCAGGACTAACCCCTGGGGAACTCCACTTGATACCGGCTACCAACTAGACATCGAGCCGTTGATCACTATCTGTTGAGCCTAACGATATAGCCAGTTTTCTATCCACCTTATAGTCCACTCATCCAAGCCAGACTTCTTTAACTTGCTGACAAGAATATTATGGAAGACCATATCAAAAGTTTTGCTAAAATCAAGGTATATCACATACACTACTATTAGAGCAATTAACCACTATCACTCAGTGCTGGTATAAACTCTGAAGCATGAGGATTATAACCTTTCTAAAAATCAGATTTTGTTCTGTCTAATGCAAGAGTATGAATGTGCTTATGATCCACATGTCTAAATGTTTTTTATGACTCTTGTTAAGGTTTTAGCCCAAATTATATCCTTTTGCAATGAGTTCCATAAGTTAATTATGCATCATATAAAACAGCATTTTCACTTATCTCTTTCAAATATGTTGTTCAGTAAGGAAATAACCAGACCTTAGCAGTAAGTGTCTAGTGGCAGTAACTACCTAATCCATAAGCCATCAAAATTCTTTTAACTTTACAACATTTCACAGTATGATACTTTCAAGTACAGAGTAACACTCATCATTTTGTCTTCTAATCTCTATGAATCAGCAGACCAGCCATTGTTTTTAATTACTAATAATTTATATGCTACTTGGAGGAGGAAATAAAATTCATCTTTCTATTCTTTATTGTGCACTCTGTAGCTACGGGTACACCTACACTGCACAGTTATTCCGGGATACCGGAGGCATCCCAAAATAGCTACTCCGTGTCTACACAAGCTCCCCATTATTTCAAAATATTTTTTTTAAATTACGGGCACACTATTTCACCATCCCGGTAAAACTCAATGCACAAGAGTTAAAAGATAGCTTGAAATGGTGCGAAATAAGCTATTTCAAAAAATAAGCTATTTCAAAAAAGATTTGCGTAGCACAAATTGCATACCTTATTTCGAGTTTAGGATGCTGTTTTTACATGATCTAAGATACAGACTGAGACTGAAATGGTACATTCTTGTATTACTGAGCCTGAATGCAAAAAGATATGAACAAGATCATAAGGGCCTGATGTAAAACCCATTGAAGTGAATGAAAAGACATCAATGGGAGATGTATTAGTTTTCTAAAGAGAGAATTCTAAAAACTCCAGGTGCTTTTGAAGTACAAAAAGAATAGAAAAATGTCCAATAAATAAATGAAAAAAACTTAGAAAAACAAAGAATAGTCTTGCAGCACCTTAGAGACTAAGACGACTAATAAGTCTCTAAGGTGTTACAAGACCATTTGTTGTTTTTTAAGTTTTTCCAGTTAGACTAACTTGGCTACCCTTCTGAAGCAGTAAATAAATGGTTATGTTTCAACATGACAGTGTACACATATCAGGAGATGATCAGTGGTCCCTTCTGGCCTTAAACTTCATGACTATCAGATTTGAAGAAAATTCATGTGATACCATCTATTACAGTGGTCCCCAACCTTTAGATGCTCTCGGGCGCCCGGGGCTGGGGTTAGACTAACTTGGCTACCCTTCTGAAGCAGTAAATAAATGGTTATGTTTCAACATGACAGTGTACACATATCAGGAGATGATCAGTGGTCCCTTCTGGCCTTAAACTTCATGACTATCAGATTTGAAGAAAATTCATGTGATACCATCTATTACAGTGGTCCCCAACCTTTAGATGCTCTCGGGCGCCCGGGGCTGGGACCACTCATGCGCCGGGTGCCTGGGGGGTGGGGCCGCGTGTCCGGCGCCGGGTGCCTGGGGGCGGGGCCGCGCATCCTGGGGCACACCAGGGGCAGGGATGCCCTTGCACCCGGCGCCGGCATGTGCCCCAAAGCCGGGGCTGCCCGAGTGCCTTGTGCTGTGGGCCTGGGGCCGGCGCCGCTGCCCGAGCCGTGCGCCTGGGGCCGGCATCGGTGCCACTTGAGCGCCGCGCATCTGAGCGCCCGCATATGCCCCGGGAGGTTCACGGGGGGCAGGGCCGGCCTAGGTTGTCGGCGGGCGCACACAAATGCCCCGGCGGGTGCCATGGCACCCGCGGGCACCACGTTAGGGACCACTGATCTATTATGCGGTAAATATTTTGTATCTGCCTACCTCTTAGATAGTATTTACAAAAGTGCCTATTTCTACAAAGTGTAAGGAGTTTTACTGAAAAGATTTAAAATTATTTTATTTTATTTTTGACTCAACAACCCTTCATTTATAGTTTTCCCCTAAAAACTGTTTAACAATTTCCTGTTTCACCTGCATATCTGAGGGAGAAAAGTATGACTGAATTGAGAAAAGACTGTCATTCAAGGTGTGAAGAAAGCATGTGAAAAAAACCCACCTTTCAGGCAAGTGGAAGATAAATCAGATATTTTGTAATTACAAGGAACCTCCATTTGAATATGTCCTGTGGAACAAGAGCAATAACACCTACTATCATCACCAATCTGTAAATGACTGACTGATTTTTCCCATATTTTCTTATACTAATATTTTTTCTTAATACTATTTTGAAAGCTTCAGAGTGGGACAGCTCAAAGTTTTAAGTTGTAGCAAATCTTTCTGAAGACAACAATTCCAGCTGAGAAGTTATTGATGAAGTGAGTTAGTTGAAAATGTAAATGCTCATAAAAGGTGCTACACTGATAGACTTGGAGTCTTCTCCCTTTGCTCAGGAATGAAAATCCTGAAATAAATATCCACAGTTTGAAAGTAAAACTAAATTATGCTTCAAAATCACAACCGATCAGTAAATACTAATAAAATATTGCCATTTAAAGACAGTCTTACCTGCTTATTTTTATCTGCTTTAATGATGTTTTTGAGAATGGTTTCTGTGGGCTCTTTAAGCTGTTCTCTGTCTGATGGAGAACCTATAAAAGGTAAACATGCATTCCAGAAGTATCTAGCTGCCAGCATTACAAGGGCACAGTTTCCTGTTTCACCTGCATATCTGAGAGAGAAAAGCATGACTGAACTGAGAAAAGACTGTCATTCAAGCTAAATTGCATCTTGTAGTCTATGTCTGCTGAGAATAAACATGAGACCACACAACTCAATTTTCTTTGTGTCCTAATCAGAATATATATATGTCCCCCTGAGGTGAGAGACTTTTGAATTTTCCCACTATAGAAAGCTCTTTCATTTTGAACATATTCATTGCCCATACTCACTAGGGTGACCAGACCTTGTTTTTAAAAGGTAGTCCTGTATCTTAGCCCAACTGCAGGTGTCTGCCCATTTTTAAGAAAAAGTCAAAACTGTCCTGTATTTTCTCTCATCCCCATCAGTACTGGTGGGTCCAGCTGCTGGCTGGATTCCTGTTAGCCAGCTGCCTGCCCATCAGTAGGCATGGAGGGTGGGGCAGTGGCCAACAATGGGGATAGGCATGCAAGGCTGGTAGTGAGGCAGTGCTGCAGCCACTCCCCTCGCTTGTATGTAAGCACAGCCCCTGCTGCGTGTCAGCTCTTGGCCAGAAAAGCCTCACACCTTGTCCCATTTTTGGCCAATACTTGACGCATTTTATGTTGGCCTCTCTTACTGCCCTCTCCCTGCTTTGTCCCTTCACACCCCAAACCCTGTTTTCTCCTCCATATTCCCCCTAGTGAGGCACATCCTGCTCCCAGCACTGTGCAAGGATCCAGCCTCTGGTCAGAGTGTTCAGTTCAGCAACAGCCTGGCCAGCAGATTCCTTCCTTCTCCCACTGCTTCTGGCTGGACCAGTGCCCTGGGAAAGCCCAAGACCCTCTGGCCTAGTGCGCTGGACAGGAGGCACCAAGCCTTACATGTGTCAAAGCTTCACACAGCATTGGCATGGGGAAGCCTCTCCCTACCTAGGCTAAGCTCTAGAGTCAGGGGGAAGGTAGTGGGGAACGAGATTTTAGCCTGTTCATGCTCTGACCCTGCAGGCTCTATAGCAGCCCCCCAGACAGAGCTTAGCACCATCTTCACCTGTCCATTGGCCTGGGTCCTGCCCTCAAGGAGCACAGGGCTGCTCTGTTCCCTAGGCACTCTCACTTGCTGAGACCTCTCTCTAGCTGGGTTGATGCTCCTGTAGTCAAATTCCTGGGCCCTGATACGCAATGTAGCTTTAGGACTTAATCCCTTCTTGCCTGCACTATAGCCAGAGAATGGAAGGCAGCTGGGTCATGTCAATGGCTAGCAGCAGCTTGAAGGGTTAGCTGACTTTCCACACTGTGTGGGCAGGAAGAGACAAGCTGCTTCCAGCCACTGGTGCTAGGGATAGGGGAAAAGAGCCCTGCAAAGACAAAGGTCAGGTCATCCCAGCTCCTTCCTTGACTCCCTGGAGGCCAGAAACAGTTTCCATCCCTTCTCTCCCACACCACACTGAAAAGCTGCTCCTGGCCACATTCTGGTATGAACCCTGGCAAAAATCTGGCTCTGCATGCCCCTGTACCACAATGTGTTGCCTTGGAAAAATGTGGCACCAGGAGAAGTGGGTCTGTTCTGTGTGTCCAACCAGGCACGGTGTGAGGAGAGAGCCCTGTAAAGAAGGTCAGTGAGTCATCCTCCCATGTGAGAGAGGTATACAAGAGTGTGTTATATTTAATTGTTCTGGTTGGGCCTCCCTGGTGCGGAACCATCAGGACCTGAGTGATCCTGAACCAGGGAGTTTTTGGATCAGGGGAGGTCAAGGTTCCTCTCTAAGCCAACAGCCCCACTCCTGGGTGCCAGCCCCAGCCACTGGGCTCTGTTCCCAACCCTGGCCAAGATTGCACTCCTTGCCACCAGCCCCACTGCTGCCAGGTATGGATGGGGCTGTGCTCCCAGCTGCATTGGCCCTGCTGCTGCCAGCCCCAGACTTGACTGCACTCTCAGCCATGCTGGCCCCAATGCTGCCAAACCTAACCAGGGCTACTCCTGGTCTCTGGCCCTCTGCCACTGGCTGGGGCTGCATTTCTGACCCTGGCTGCCCCTACTCCCAGCCAGGATCGCTGATCCAGCAATACCCGTGGTCCTGCCCAGGGCTGACTCAGAGGGCCACAGACCCACCAGCACTCCCCAGGGCCAGCCTGGGGGTGGAGGGATGAGCCATACAGGCTGCCTGCCAGTGCTCCCCAGGATTGGCCCAGAGATAGTGAGGGCCACACAGTGACTAGCAGCTGCTCCTCTGGCACCATGTCTTTCAAGGCAACACATGGGGGGTGGCGGGTGGGCATGCAGTCACATGTCTCTCTTTCCCACCTGCAGATTTCTGCTAGGGTTAACACCAGAAGGCCAGAGTGTCGGCTGTTGTCAGCTAGTATTTTTCCACTAAGGTACTTACGGTCCCCCACGTGGTCATTTCACAGTATAACTTCCTTCTTCTAGACATCTCCCTTTCCATTTTATGAGAAACTATCAAATTCCAGGCATATCCCATTGTCCTGGCACAAACAACCCCTGACCTTGCTTTAAGTTAGGATAAGAAGAAGTTGCATACCAAAGTTGGTGGTCCTATGTGTTACTGTTTAGGAGGAGTTTTTGAATAAATGGACCCACATACAGAAAGATACACATTTCTAAAATAGATAGATACCAGAAATTAAAGCTGCATTAAATTATTCTGCTGCACCTCATCAAATACAACGTACCTAGCACTTTGAACAAAAGCTTTTGATGCTGCTAAGCGCAAATGCTTTTTTCCAGCCAAATTTTCCATTATACTCCTCCCTTGTATACAAGCAGCGGTGCTTAACATTTCTTGTCTTGCTGTGTAATCATCCCTGCATAAAAACAAATCATTCAAGATGTGTTATCATATATACAGTAGCCCAATGTCAGTGACTCTGTAACGGGGTAACATCGTCTGTTGCCTCTGGGTGGCACTGTTGCCTCTGTAACGTCCTTCACCTCCGCAGTGGCGCTTAGCTGACTTCTGCGTCGCTCATCCGGGCCGCTGCATGGGAGCAAGTGGTGCAAATGGTCGTTTGGGCTCCTCGGTCTCCATGCAGCATGGGGGTGCTCCATGGGGACCGCGGAGCTCAAACAGCCGCTTGCACCGCTTGCTACCGCACGGCAGCCCAGCTGAGTGGCACAGAACTCAGCCAAACACCACGGCAGGAGGCAAAGGGGGGCGAGACGGTGATGTACATAGCCAAGAAGTGGGTCCTGGATGAGCGTGCATCCTCGATGGAGAACAGCGAGGAGGTGGAGGAGAGCGGAGGACACAGAGAGGAGGGCGGAATAGAGCAGAGAGAGAGAGTGAGAGGCAGGAGGAGGAGGAGAGGAGTAAGAGAGAGTGAGAGGCAGGAGAGGGAGAAGAGAAAGAGAGAGCCGGAGACAGAGGCAGCAGGTGGAGGAGAGCTGAGAGAGAGGGCGGTGGGAGGCAGTAGGAGGAGGAGAGACAGAGAGAGATGGAGCAAGAGACCAGCAGAGGCTAAGGAGAGAAGACCAAGATAGAAAGGGAATAGGATGTGAAGGAAAGACCCAAAAATCCCGTTTTATGACAGGCTATTGGCTAGTAATCTTATAGTCTGAGAATGCTATAAGACTGGCTGCTATGTGTACAATCCATTGGTTGCTATGTGTACAATCTTTGTCTTTTACAAAATGGCGGTGTTACAGACTTTGTACTTAAAAGTGTACAGGCAGTCCCCGAGTTACGCGGATCCGACTTAATCTCCAGCAGACCAGGGAGAGGAAGCAAAGCAGTGGAGCGTCTGGGCTGTCCGCTGCCCGCGTGCTCCGCGGCTTTGCTCTGCTTTGCTCCCCGTCTCCCTGGTCTGCAGACCAGGGGGATGGGGAGCAAAGCCGCGGAACACGCGGGTAGCGGACAGCCCAGACGCGCCCGGGGTGGCCCTCCGGCCCT